TCCCCTACCCCCGCACCCCGTCTCAGGAGCGGGGTGGCGGCGGACTTTTCTCTACCAGACCCACAGCCCTCACGCCCGCACACACTATGTTTGCGGAGAGGCCAGGGCAGACAACCTCCACCCTTTTCCGGAGTCGCTGGCGCCCCCTCATTCCCGCTCCAGCATCCCATGCCTTGCTTCACCCCTGGTGCCTCATCATCGCGCCAGGAAGCCAGGGCCCGGGAATTTCCTTTCCTGGTGGCGCCTCGGGTCAGCTGAGTCGACCATCACGTGACTGGGACTAACGTCCTCTGGGAGACAGGGGGCTGCTAGGAGTGAGGTGGAGAGCGGACCACAGCCCACCGGAAGTGTCAGGGAGGAAGTGCTGGCGTCCCCTCCTCCTTCTCCCAGAATCCTTCCCTGGAAAAAAACCAGCGCCAACCGCCCGTTTATCTGACAGTGGAAGTTATTTGTTTAACTTAAGGGGGTAGGATCCCGGGAGCCAGGGGGATTCAGGTCATTGCCATGTTTTCCACTGTTAAGCGAATAGCATTATACACAGCCGCGGACTGTGGCAAAAGACATTTTTGAAACTATTGAACTGTACTACACATACAGAAAATTGTACCTATTAGAAATATAAAGCTTAATAAGCTTTCATCAACTGTAGACCTCACATAACCAGCACCCAGATAAAGAAATAACCAGATAACTTCTTCAAATGCATGGGTATTTTATTTCATTTTGATGAATCGTCTAGCTACCTAGCAAAAAGGGCTGTCATAACTAACATGCTCAGGAAAACTCCCTACAGCTGTAACATCAATAGATGCATATCTTAATTTTTGCCAATCTGATGGAGAAAAAAAATCGGTTGCTTAGATTGCAGTGGTAGTCTGCTTCCTGGTAGCTTTGAGCTCATGGGTAGTCTAGACCAACTAAGTTTCTGACATTGACTTGAAGAGGCAAAAACTGAAAGACAAAACAACAACAAAAATATATTACAGAATAGACTAATAACCAAAGAAGAAATTGAATACAGTCGTCCCTTAGTAACCTCAGGATATTGGTTCCAGGACCCAGGAGATACCAAAATTCACAGACGCTCAAGTCCCTGATATAATATGGCAGCAATACTTGGGGCTCCAAGTCCAGCACACAGTCCCAGCAGGGCCAGGCGGGGTGGCCAGGTTGGCACAGGCATCAGGTCCCAACTTCCTTCCCTCTTTGCCAACTCTTAGACCAAGGAGTTCATCTTCTTGGACCTGCAGTCCAAACTGTACTCACGTGGGGACAAGAACATGCTGATGGATGAGGTGGCGCAGCAGGCACAGTGGTGCAATGAGATGCTGTGCACACACCACATGCTGAGGGAGGCACCCAGCATCACCGGCGACATCAACACGAACACCATCAGCATGCCCACGGGGGTCCATGGATGACTCCTGGCTGCAGGTGCAGAGTGTCCCAGCCGGACGCAGGTACCAGGGCTGGCGCCCACAGCCCCAAAGCCCCCCAGACTCCATGGATGAGCCTGTGAGCTCTTGGAAAAGGCTCCATACCCAAGGAGGCAGATGTGGGTGCTCTCTGAAGTTGTCACAGAGGGCAGAGAGCTCGCGGTTTATGGTGTAGGGGCCGGGAACTTGGAGGGCATTGTGTGTGGGGCTGGACTCTGAGGTGGCCAGAGGCCAAGGAACGTCATCCTGGGCACAGTCTGAGCCATGCTGCCAGGGCAGGGTATCCAGCTCCCAGCCTGGGAGTGCCGAGAGGCAAATCCACTGCAGAGCAGCGGTGATAGTCAGAGTCCCACCTCCTCTATCTGTTGGCAATCCAGTGGCGGTCTAGGATAAAATCTTGAGAGTCCCATACACATGGTGATCCCACAACACACCTCACAGGCCAGGCAGGAACACACAGCCCCCGTCCCTCCCTCCCAGGTACCATCATAGCTGCTAGCGTGTGACTGAAGGCAAGGTCTCTGGCCCCCGCTGAAGCACTCCTGCCAGCCAGGGGGCTCCTGCACCTTGGCCTGTTGCTCCTAGGGGTTGCCTGTGCTATTCAGACAAGGTGATCACAGTGCCTGCTGGCCCAGCTGAGCTCCACATAGCGAGCCCACCAGCCTCCCCTGCCACGGACTCTCCCTCTTCTGATTTCCCAGCAGGAAGGACCCAGCCTCACCTATAGGACCTGTAGCCCCCCTCAAGCAGCTGATGCTCCCCTCTTAGACTTATAAGTCTATGGCTAGTGGCATATGCCCTCCCTGTCTTACCCAGGGTCTGGGTCTTTCTGACCACCCAGAGAGGCCTCTGGCACTCACTCCAGCCATCCATCCCTTTTAGTTTCACCATCCTGGGTCAAGCAGTGTTCCTTCTCTATCAGGCCTGGTGGCTGTTGGGTGGGGCTCCCCAAGGTGAGAAGTGGCCCTGGGCCAGTGGGTTGGAAGAGAGGGTGACCAGAGAAGGGGGAACCCCGAGGGGGCTGAGCATTGGTCTGAACTGAGGCGCACCTCCTGGGTACTGTGGGTCAGGCCAGTGTGTGTGGGCTGGGGAGGGCCGCCGCAGCCCCCAAGCACTACCTGTGAAGCTCTGGCTCCTCCCTCCATCTTCCTCCCCTTTCCCTTCCAGCCCCTCTTTTCCAGGAACCTTGCCACACCTGCACCTGCGCCCTCCCCTCCTCAGCCCTCCCACAGCTGCCGCAGCACGTCCGTGCTCTGTGCTTGCCTCACCAGCTCTCTGCTCACTTTTCTCTCTCCTGTTTTCTCTCTGCTTCTCTCCAACTGCCAGCTGATGGGGTCAGGAAGTTCATCCGGACCTGAGAGCCCCAGCCCCACTTCGACCTCTAAACAGATCCTCCTCTTCTCGGAGGCCTCCCTTTCCAAGCCTGCCTGGGTGAGTGTCCTGTGACTTGACAGTGGCTCCCCAACCCCAAAGCCAGCCCCCTTCATCTGTGACTTAGTCTGTTGTAGTGCTGAGCTGACACATCCAGGTGTGACTGTTGTTGAAAACTTGTGCCCCTCAGTAGTATGCCCTGCCCTGTTCTATACATATCTATAAATATATACATATACACACACACACACATATATATGTACACCTACACGTGGCTAACCGCCTCACCTCTAGCTTTGGGAATCAGTCACCGTGCTGTCCTTGTGGAGTCTTGTGGCCCAACAAGAGGAAGCTGTCCCCTGACATTGCCCCTCAAACGTGCGCCACCTCCAGTGAGCCTCCCTGTCATGCCCGGCCTGTGGACAGCCAGCCCCCACCATCCCTCCCACCCCCTAACAAACATGGGGGCGTGTGCAGGCAGCTGTGTGGCCTGACAGTCTCTACCAGTCCTGCTGTCCCTCGGCTGAGAATCAAACCCATTTCTGGATGACGGGGAATGTGTCCTCTGCTGGCTGTGTCCTCTGCGGAGCTCAGGGGAGGGAAAAGGCCAAGCCATTTCTAGGGTGCTGTTGGGAGCAGTGTAAAGGCCACACCCTTTCCAAGGGACACTTTTCCTGGAAAACCCCTGAAGCTTAGGTGAAGCCGGCTCTGGCCACTAGAGAGCAGAGCCATGAAGTCAGGCTGGAGGAGCCTGCGGGGCGGCAGGCACTCTGGAGGGACAGATGGAACAGGTCACCAGGTGCACTGGAGGGACAGACAGAACAGGCAACCCTTTCAGTGAATATTTGCACCCTTTCAGTGAATATAGGCAAATCTGTTATTCCATCTGTAAAATCATATTATTGCTCTTCTGTTAATGTCATATTTATAAAAGTATCAAAATGCCAAATGCTAAAAATGGAGATGGTCTAGTAACTAGAAATGCCCACCCCAGGGAGCGCACATACATCTCCCCCTACATCCTAATAAAGTGATGTATTTTGGAACACAGACGTTAGAACTTCATGAAGTTGTAGCTGTTGATTCTTTCCCAAGCATCATAAACTTATGATTCAGGCAATGTATGACTGAAAGAATTCATTCATCATCTACAGACACATTAACATAAATATGGCACAAATTATGCCTCTAACTGAAACCGGGAGGTATAAAAACATACTTCACTCTTCGTAAAGAACTTTGTGAGGAAACATAACTCTGTGATTGTGTAGACGCTTTTCCTCGTAATACTTTCACCTTCACAAACGGTAGACTGCACTGCAGCTTGTAAACATTTTAAGTTGCATAAACTTCCCCTTGATTTTCAAATGAAGTGTAATACTGTCTACTAAATCTCATTTTTGTTTCAACTAATACTCTCACATATACTGGTTTATAATAATGGTTGTTATTATTTTTAAAGTGTTTTTCATTCAAAGAAAAGAAGCAAATTCCTGTGTCAGATTAACCAATATGGTTGAAGAATAGGTATTAGCCAGAGAGGTCTAGATGGTAAAATCAATCTTCTAGCCTCAAAGAAACTCCGTGAACACAGAGGAATGCCAGGTGTCACACAGCTTTCCTTCACTCGAATTCATTCTTGACTAGAGCCTGTATGCCTGTTCCAGGGACATTTAAACTCTGAAAGGATTTCTTACGATCCTTACTAAATACATTAAGAAGAATGCCAACCAGTGCCCTTTTGTATACTGAGCCATGTCGTCATGTGATTAAAACAGGTAACATGAACTCTGACGTTAAAATGTAATGCGGATGTGAAGGCTCTAAGCTACAAAAGATTTTCCACATCCACAGTCAATGACAGGATCCTTTCATTCCTCAGAAATAATCCCTTTTAGGTCATTGAGAAAGAGTCCAACTGCTGCAGCTCATGATGCAATATCTTCAGGAGCCCAGAGCACGTACAAATCCTAAGGGAACTACCATAGTACGGCGCTCATTCCTGACACCAGAACAAATGAATCACACTCTCTCCTGCACACACCTGCCAGAGCAGGCCACTTTCCTCTTCTGTGAGATTTAAAAGGCTCCCCAAAATATTATTACTCCCATCCCCAAGACACAGAAAATAGGGGGAA